TTGAAAAGTTTAAGGAAAGAAAAAATTATTTACTTGACAAAGAAATTGAGTCTTTGCCACAAACTCTGGTTTCCTATTCTCTACATCTTTGCAACCCCAAGTGGTAGACCTGGAATATTTCAAACTATGAATTATGTTGGCTAACTTAACCTAAGCTTAAAACAATGAAAGGTTTACACCATCATGTTGTAAAGATATAAGGATTGGAAAATTTGAGATTGTGGCAAAGACTCAATTCCTTTTGAATTATTACTTCAAAGAGTCAGTATTATTACGTCTTGGAAAGGAACAAAAAAATAGTTGCAAGTGGTGGTAAATTTGTTTACTTACTATTAATATCGGGCTGAATGTCTTATCTTTTAGTTATACATTTCCGACCCTGTAGCCCTGAATATACAATTCTGACCCCTCTGTAGCCCTGAATATACATTTCTGACCCCTCTGTAGCCCTGAATATACATTTCCGACCCTGAAGCCCTTAATATACAATTCTGACCACTCTGTAGCCCTGAATATACATTTCTGACCCCTCTGTAGCCCTGAATATACATTTCCGACCCTGTAGCCCCAAATATACATTTCTGACCCCTCTGTAGCCCCGAATATACAAATTATAAAATTAAATTTTTTTAAGGTGTAATTCGCAACATTATGACAATCTTTTCCTAGACATATTATAATCAGTTTTGTTTAAAGTGATGGATATCTACTGGAGATATTGGCATTATGAATATTGATAATTGTGTATGCTCGAACCAGGCATAAGACTTGCAAGTTGCAACGACACACCCAGAGTTTCTCTAAAACAAACCTGAACCAGTATGTTGCTCCAAGTATGGATATAGTAGATGCGGGGGGCGGGGTTCTGGAAGGCCCAGGGGGTGGGGTTTGGGCCTAATGCTATTATATAAATTTGCCAATAATTGAATAATGTCCTGTAGGGAATCCTGTAGTGTGATATTGTCACCTGGGTTGAGAGTGTTGAGAAGAAACCAGGGAGATCTCAGCATCCCTCTCCAGGTACCCTGCTCACCACACCGAGGGGAGTGGGGAGCGTGCTCTCTCTCCACCAATGAAAAGCCAGGATACATGTCACGTGACCGGAGAGTTGGGCTGCAGTGAGGCCGGGATACCAATTGTACAGATGAAGTCACTTTCCCCACCTAGAGAGCTCTGGGTAGACCGCTGTGATTGGCGGGGGCGGTTGGTCCAATGAGGTCCCGGAGCGCGGACTGGCGGGAGGTGAACTCTGTCTGGGGCACGGATAACATCGGCAGTCGCTGTGAACCCAGCAGGACGATACAGTCTTGCACCCAGAGAGAGAGAATCCTTGAACTTGACTTCGGTGTCACACAGAGAGAGTTTAGAATATTATGTGCATGTTTGGAGCCCACGCTTTATCATCAGAACCAGATATGTCCGGGGCTATGAAGATGGAAACCGGAACCCTACCCCCTGCCTATCCCTCCCAGGCCGGATACGGTTTAACCGGAAGTATGATGCAAAATGTTGCTCCAGTACCAATGCCTATGCAGCATATGGGAGCCTACCCTTTCTCCTCCTACTCCTCCATGTTCTCATCAAGTATCCCACATGATCCGTCCTTACTCTTTCCAGAAATGACCAATCCCGGATACAATTACTCCAACAACATGTACAGCTCGTACATGAACGGCATGGGGTCCTCATTTTTCCGGTACATGCGTCAACCTATGCGTCAGGAGATGACCTGTGAATGGATGGACCAGGAGACTAAGAAAGTTTGCAGGAAAGTGTTCCAAGGAATGCACGAGATTGTGACGCATCTTACCATTGATCACGTTGGGGGCCCGGAGATCACTGATCATACTTGCTACTGGCAGGAGTGCTCCAGGGAGCAGAAACCATTTAAAGCCAAGTACAAACTTGTAAACCATCTCAGAGTTCACACGGGAGAGAAACCCTTTCCCTGTCCTTTCCCTGGATGCGGGAAAATATTCGCCAGATCTGAGAACTTGAAGATACACAAGAGAATTCATACTGGTAAGTTAAAATAAAAATCCCCATCCGTAAAATATTTGTCCACCTGTCCTAAATCCCTCCA